TAGTTTATGAAAATAAATTATACAGCAACTATTTTAATAAATTAAGCACAAAAAGGGAGAATAAAGGAGGACAACTAAATGGGAAGACAAAAGCCAGGCCACGCTTTGGCTTGGAGGGCATGGTGGCTAACCAGTACAGTGTGGTTGCAGGGGGTGTGGCTCCCCTTCTGGTGAGGAAGTGGTAACCACACTGAGCCTAGAATGACACCCCCTCATCATGGAGTTTCTTAAAAACAACCAAAAAATGTATAGCAGTGGCTGTGCCACAGGCAGCACCAGTTTGGGCATCACAGGCCCCCCAGAGCAGTGCCTGGATCCTGTCTGTCCCACAAGGGAATAGCAGGGATTAAGTGGTCAAACCAGCCTGCTGCTCCACCTGAGCTGGTTAGGGAGCTGAGAATGCAGCTGAGCACGGCTGCATGCGCTTAGGTTATTACCCAGGGTAGGTTCTGATGAAGAGTGTCCTATTTCCTTATATTCTGTCTCCAGGAGAACTGCAATCACAGTCCAGCTGTGACCATATTTTGATGGCTTCCTGCCACAGCTGGCTGCTTTTGCCTGCCCCAGATGCCTCCTAGCGTTGCAGAGGAAGGACAGGAAAGGGGAAGGGAGTAGTTCCAGGGACCCTAGAAAACCTGCTGAATGAAATGGCAGTGAAGGCATGTCACAAACTCAGCATGCAGGACTGGCTTCCTGGGAAGTAGATGAGAGTGGGAAAATGTGCAGAGTACAAGAAGGGAGGTAGGAAAAAACTAGGTGACCCCCTACTCCAGGACATCCAAGAAGAAACAAAAAGGACAAAGGTGACATGAAATCTGCATGTAAAGAAAGATCTCTTTCTCTGGTAGACTAGATAATCAATTTTCTAAATCCAACTCATTCCTCTATTTCTTAACTGCAGTATCTGGGTCCCCAGTAACTGTCTCTGTGATTCAACCCCATCTCACTTCTCCAAAAACTTATTTTCCATTTGTGCAAGGCCTTTTGTCATTCTGTGCTGAGCATGAGGGCTCCAATGTCAAAACAGGATATGTCATGGGGACTTGAGGACTGTTTTGGCTCAATAATCCTAAAGCTATTATGGTAGGGCATACTTTTCTTTTTTTTGTATAAAAAAGGTTTTATTCCCCAGGAGCAAATAAATCATTTAGAACTACTGATAAACACTGCTGTAGTGAAAAGAAAGATGGCTACATCTATGCAGTAGTACAAATTCAGTATAAGGATAGCTGTGTTGACAACTAGAGATAAAAACCACTTATCAATTCTCCACTTTCCTACAAACCAAACCAAGAGGATTCCCATAGGGAAAATGCCTAACTCAAAACTTTCTCCACTATTGAGAGGGGGCATGTCATTCTCATAAAGAGGAAAACAAATTCCTGTCCATCCAGTGGAGATATTCTCAACTGGTGGCAAGACTTCTATAAATGAAAACGAACACTCTTTCTCTCTCTCTCTCTCTCTCTCTCTCTCTTTCACTATCTCTATTTATCTCTCTTTCAAGCAGCCACTAATTTCTAGGTTCAATGCTAAGGGAAAGGAAAGATCTTACCTTGGGAAGAAAAGTTCCCCTTATCCTCACTTCTGGCTGAGACAAGGGCATCAAGCAGGCCATGCTTTTCTGGGGCTCATGGGTGAAGGCTGAGCAGTCTGGCTCCCAGGGCACTTTTGGCTCTACTCTGGCCAGATTCTCACATCTAAGAATCTGGGAGCTCTAACCACCCCGACTTCCCAATTCTTCCAGATGTGCCCTGGAGAGATACATGCAGCTATCTCCATATCACACCCAACTTCAAAAGGGGGCTTATACAATCAGCTGAATGAAAAATAGGAAAGGAGGGAACAGGAACCACAGGGGCAGCTCTTCAAAAAGCCTTTTTTCTAGGAGGCTGGTTCTTCTATCACATTCACTTTATCTTGGCATAGTGGGAGACCAGGCCAAGGTCATCATTCCAAAGTCCTTTAAGGGCCAGCTGTCACCCAATTACCTAGTTCCTCACACCAAAGCCCTCACCCTCCTACTCCTGTGCTCCCAACATAGCACATGCATTTCAAGTAACAGCAGGTTACAGCAGTTGTCACTAGCTCACATTGGTTCATACCTGTCCTAAGGAAGGTTGCAGTAGATCAGGCATATACAAATAAAGGGCCTGAGAGTACTGACACCCCCACCCCCACACACACAACATGGAAATCAACAGTGGCTTCCTAGAAGTGAGACTTTTTCCAGTTTTAGCATGGAACAACCAGAGAGGAATGAGTCTTCTCTGTAGACTACATGTCCACTGGCACTGCCCAGCATGGAAGACATGAAGTCCAAGTGCTGAGCTGCTGGCCCTGCTCCTCTCCCTCTGCTGACTTTGTGGCCAGCCAGCACTTCAGTCAACTGCTCCAGCACCTTTTCCCCCCTGCTTACCTAACTTACTCTACACAAGGCAACTCCCGCGGCACCAAACACACGCCTGAGAGACTGCCTCCTGCACTGCCGTTCTGCAGCCCATTCTACTGAGGAAGGGTCAGGCTCTGGTCTGGGCTGAGACTACAGCAGACAGACCACAGATGCAGTTAAACACTTGAAGAGTTGATTTTTTACAAGGAAGCTTTGTACTTCTCTGTAAGGAGGCTTGGTATTTCTCTGGCCGATTGGCAAAAGCAAAAGTAACTGACGAGCCTTTAGAAAGACAGATGGTGAAAAGGTATAATAGGGCACTTCGAATAGCAGAATTGAGTTTCTCACTAGCTCCCTATAATAAGCAAGCATACTCTTGACTGTGTACGGCGTGTTTATTTCTTGTAAACTTTATAGCCTCAGTTCTAATTTGGAGTTAATTTTCATCACAAATAATTTAAAGGCCACAACATTAATAAATGCTAGCTATGGAGGGTTTTTCATGTACCAGACATTGTCTAAAGCACTGTATATAAATGATCTCCAATCCCCACTAATCCAAAATTAATAACTTTATTCCAATTTTAAAGAAGAGGAAACAGGTTTAAGGGTTTATTGTCCTTGCTCTCCCACAATCAAGAACTGATTGTATTAGGAGAACCTATGGTCCATGCCTCTTTCATAGGTCTGAAGTACTGCCTGCTGCCGAGTTATGTTTCCCTCTGGAGAACATCATCTTAAGTGAAGTTAGCCAGGCTCAGAAGGCCAAAACTCATATGTTTTCCCTCACATGTGGACTTTAGACCTAAAACAAATGCAGTAATATTCTTGGACATGAGTCACACACTACGGGGAGAACAGCACAGGAGGAATAGGGAAGCCTAAAATTTGAATGTGGTTGATGTGCTCACTGTAGAGGAGAGAATAAAGTAAACTTAATCTGGCAGAGGCCACTATGGGAAGGGGACTAAAGGGGTCTGGTAGAGATGAACCAATGTGGGTTGCAATACACATGTGCATAGAAGCAATGCTAGGAGTCTCTCTGTATAGCTGTCCTTATCTCAAACTAGCAAAAACGCCATGTCTTTCCTATTATCTCTTATGTTTTCTATTCAACAAAATCAGATACAAGAGTGTGGAACAGGTCTGCCTGGAAGTGAGGGGGAAGAGGAAGGTGGCCCAAACAATGTATACACATATGAGTAAATGTAAAAACAATAAAAAAAAAAAAAAGAGAATTGTTTCCCTTACTGATGGGCAGATGGAGTCAGCAAATACTGCTTTATTACAAGCAGTGAGATTTAAGCCCACTTGCCCCAGAAGATAATTGCACGTATTTTTTTAAAAGTATATAAAAGAATTACATTTCTGCAAGAAGTCCCTCTTTGCAGAATATGACAGTTTATTGCTTAAAGTTAAATACTCTGATAAAATAAAGGTCCTCCCTCCTGGGCCTGATACTAAGTCACAAAACATCCATCACGTGTTAGCACCACTGAGGTCGCATGTCTTTCTCCCCCGGACATGAGTCACACATGTTCAGAAAGCTCCCAGCTAGGAAAGCCCTGGGCGCATGCTCTGAGGCAGCTAAGCCACATGAGCTCTGAATGGGAGGAGGTCATTGGCCCTGAAGCTGCTCAGGCTCGCCAAGCATTCCTTTCCATTACACAGGACTGAGGACCATATGGACAGTGCATTAATGTTGTAACAAATCCTTGGAGAGAGAATAAAGGGATTGTGGAATACCCTGTGACTTGCCTCTGTCTCTAGTGCCCTGAAAAGTCTGTGTCGTTGGTCGTGAACATGAAGTCTTACAGTTCTGTCCTTGGGGAATGGGGGCTTCCTGAGGTTGATAGGGAGCAGCTGAGCCGTGATTACTGTCCAGGCTCTGCTTCCAAGGTCCAGTCTCATCATTCTGCAATAACTGCTCTGACCAAATGCCAATTTTTCTCTTTTCTCCTAAAATTCCCAACTATGTAATTTCAGACACAGTTTGTACCACTGCCTATATTTTCTTCTGGTCACAATTAATTTGGTTATACATAAAAGATTATTCTGAGCAAAATATAGCTTTGCATTTCCAACAATGAAATCACACAATTACAGCGTTTCCTGTGAAGAGGACACTAATGTTCTGTAACTGTATTTGTTGGGTAATTTTTCCACAATGCTTTTTCTCCTCGTTAGGAGGAGCCTTACTTCTTTGGGGGTCTCTCCTTCTCTCTTGTCCACTAGCTGTAAAAAAACCCACAAACTATGGATTTAGTGATTACTTGTTTTTTCCATATTACTACCTTCCTTGTGAAGGATGAATCAAACATAAATTTACATGTTTCAGACATCTTATTCCAAGCTTTATCAGCACAAAATCTGGAACACTCCTAGAACACTTCTTTGGTGGAGGAAGGTACAGTAGCTGGATGTATGCTTAACAAGAGTGTGAAAGTGGGATGTTGAATTCAAAATGTATTTTATATGCATGACTCAGTTTTCTCTCAATATAGTTCAAAAAGAATCTCTAAAGAAAGATAACCAGATTTTTGTTTTCATCCAATAAGAGTTCACAGGGATTCATAGCAGCACATGTATCTTCTGTCTCCATTTACAGGTGATAAAAGATGCCATAGTTGAAAGCATTGAATACAGAAGACAGAATCCATCTCGTTGCTCTGTTTCCCTCAGTAATGTTGAGGCAAGAAGATTTTTCAACAAGGAGTTTCTAAGTAAACCCACAGCATAGTCTGTGTACTGAAAGAACAGCAATGTCTGATGCTAAGGTCATTTGAAATTCCATGACAACTGGATTTTAAAGTGTAATTGCACTGAACATAAAAGAGACTGGCTAATGCTCAAGAGTTGTGGCTGTTTACCTACATGAAAATAATACTGTTACAAATTTGCTTGGTGGATAAATGACGTCATTATGCAACAATGTAATTAAAAATAGTTTCTGTCAGTATGAATTTCCTGATGTAAACAGTAGGGATATATACTGTATTTTAAACATTCCTTACCAACCTTCATATATGTGCTGTTTTTTAAAATGTTTTTTTCTTTAAAAAATATTTAATAGTTCAATCTCAATGTCTGAATGTTTTTCACTGACTACCTTTATTCATGCCATGATACACTACTTTTTATTTATACATGCATATATACACGTATGAAATAAATTCATCAATATGCAAACTGACATAAGATTATCGAGTTTTTGTTATTCTTTTTAAAGAGATATTATACTGTTGGTGTGAAGGATTTTCAGATTCACTGTTCTTGAACACAAAAGGTATTAATCCTGAATTTGAATGTGAAACTTTTACATTTAAATCATGGTGTTTTTTCTTTCTTTTTAAAAAAAATATATAATTTATTCAGCCAGTGGTATATGGTTAACCAATAAGCATAAAAATATATAACCACTTCCAATGAAATATTTTACTCTGTTCATATATATCCTAGACTCTTATCCACCAGCCAGGGCAGTTGACTCCAGAGATCACTCCAGAAGAGTGGCAAGGTCTGTGTCAGATTTGTCCTGGAGACAGTCTGCACTACATAACTGTGATTTCATTCACAGTTGAACTGCTATGATTCACGACTGATGTTCCAAACCTCAGGTCTTCTTTTTTTGCTCTCTGCCAATCTTCTTTCCTGGAATTACCTTTCTTTAAGCTCTCTATTGTTCTTTTTGTTCCCTCTTGCCTTTCACATTTTTGCCTAGGAGGAAAGACAAAAACAAATAAATTTTTAAAAAGTAATAAAGGAAAAGAGAAGACTCCAAAGTGCTTTGCTTTTTTATTGATTGATGCAAATGACAAATGAGAGTCTATTACACTCTCCCAGGCACACTGAGGGTCTGGGGGCCCAAAGTAAACAAAAAGTGCCTGCCTTGAGGACCTGACATCCTAGTGGTATTGATATGCAGATGATATGCAGAAATTTTCAGATGGTGAGGATCTTTGGTCTACTCTTGGATGGAAATCAAAGGTGGACTCAAGCAACAAAGGTCACAAAGTTTGTTTGTAGAGAAGAGAAAGGAAAGGCTGCATGGGCTCATGCAGTGGAACCTGGAACCCAGTGGTCCACTGAGTCAGGCTGGAAATTGGGTTTTATAGCCTTTTTTTATTGTCCCAGGGTGGAGGTGTCTCTTTGGCATGAATGGATGTTTTGTGGGAAGAAGTGTCTCCCTGGTTAATTGTCACCTTTTAGGACCTCCTGCAGTCGATCCTTCAAGTCCCCACTCTCAGTGGTCACCCTAACTGCTGTTAGGGATAGGGACGAAGAAATCTATTCAGTGACTGCTTCCTGCTGATAGGGGGTGATGAAGGGGCCCGCAGCATCAGGGCTGACCATGAGAGAGGAGTTAGAGGGGACCACGATAGTAGGTCATTTTCATCTCCATCAGGGGCATCTCTAGTTTGATGGATTCTAGGTGAGAGGAAACAAACTTGACAAGGAAGTTTGAAATGTAAGGCCAAAGCACAAGGAAGAGAATAATGGTAACTCTAGGCCCCAGAAAGGGTAGGAACCATGCCCTGGAGGGGAGCCAGGATTTTATATGATCCCATACTTGTGTGGATATCTGAGTTCCGAGGGACTGTTTTCTGAGCCACTTAGCCTGTTAGAGAATGTAGTCTGCATGTTCCTCTACAATGCCTGAAGAGTTTATATATATATGTGCATCAGGAAGTATTGGCAATGGCATATACCACTCCTTGTTTAGCCAAAATCCAGGGTAAGGTGGTCCATGACCATACAGGCAAGGTAAGATAAAGTCCTTTGCATGTCCTTAATGGCAAGGTCTACCTGGTCTGAGGCGCCCTCTACTACTTTGGTTAGGTTTTTTGCAGTTACATGATTGGCAATCACCCCACAGCTTATTTTAGATAGGGCTGTAGTTAATGCTGTTATCCCTAAAACTATTAGAGTAACCTCTCTTTTGAGTTTAGAATTTTCCCTAGGTTGTGTGTGGTCTAAACTGTCAGGGGCCAGTTTAGGACAAATTTTTGACCTTCAGGGAATGGAAGGCTAACTGTACCAACTGCTCGAAGACATCCTGGCCACCCCTGACTACCTGATCTAAATTTTTACTTAAGTAGCCCACTGGGGGTGGAGTGGTACCCTGGACCTGAGTCACCACTTACAGAGCCAGTCCTCCCTTTTCATAGACATGTAATTGAAACTTGTCTTGTACCGAGAGACCCAAAGCTGGTGCTGTCATAGAGCCTTTTTTAATTGGTATAATGTAGTTTTTTGACTTGTCACCTCATTCAATAAAATACTGGGGACCCTTCTGTGCTTCCTTAAGGATCTAACATAAGGCCTAGCTATAACTGCATATCCCAGGATCCAAACTGTACAGTATCCTGTCACCCCCCAAAAGGCCCTCAATTGTTTTAGGGTCTTAGGTAAGGAAACGTCAGGATCAGACAGATTCTATCTTCTCCTCCAGCCCTCCTTTCTCCAGGAGAAGACCTAAATATATAACCCTAGACTGACACAATTGGGCTTTTTCTTTAGAGATTTTATAACCTCTGTCTGTTAAGTTTAGGAAGGACTCAGTGGCTCATGAAATGAAGGCTCATTCAGTCTGCAGAGCAGGAGGTCATCTACATATTGTAGCAGAGTAGCTTGTGGTATTGCCACTCTGCCAAGTCTTGGGTTAGAGCTAACCCAAAGAGATGGGGGCTGTCTCTGAATCCCTGGGGGAGGACAGTCCAGGTGACCTCTCCAGCCTTTAATGTGGGGTCCTCAAAAGCAAAGAAGTTGACTTTTAGGGTGTAAGGAAATGTAAAAGAAGGCATCCTTTAAGTCCAGGACAGAGTAGTAAGCAGTACCTGAGGGTATTTGGGCTAAAAGTGTGTAGGGATTTAGAGCTACTGGATGGAGAGGCACTCATGCTTCAATGATCAGGCAGAGATCTTGGACTAGCCTCTATTTGTTAGTTCCCTTCCTGACACCAAGAATAGGAGTATTATATGGGCTGGAGCAATCTATTAGCAGCCCCTGTCTCTTTAAGAGTTTGGTTATGGGAGTAGTCCCTCCTTAATTTCGGTCTTAAGGGATACTGGGGTTTCTAAGAGTCCTTGCTGTACAGCCATGACTTGGGAATAATTAAGGGGTTTTATCTTGGCTCTCCTTAGACCATCAAGAATGCAGTGGATGAAGTGGTTATGGGTCCATTCATCCTTGTCATTCTCAGGGTCCCACTTAGGGTCATATTCAGGCACTGCCTGATCTCCTGTTGGAATTGGGAATCAGGATTCCCTTTTACGTGTCCAGTGTCTCTGTCTTCCCCCTCCCCCTCCTCTTCCTGTAAGGGCCCAGTCTGAGCTAGGCTTGTGGGGCCACATTTATCTAAGTGATAATCATCCCCAGTTGCGGCTGCTTGGTTGCCTGATCTAGTACTTGCTGTTTCTCCAGGGAAGTGAGAGTCTGAGATAGCAGTAGCATTACATCCTTCCAGCTCAGTTCAAAGTTTTGGCTGACTTCTCTGAACACCTGCATGTACTGATCTGGGTTTTCTGTATAACTTCTTAAATCCTATTTTATTTCTTTAAGTTCACTCACTCTAAAAGGAACATGAGCTCTATCACCTCCAGATATTAACTGGAGGGGTAGAGTCCTGTGGGATGATGTCAGGGGTGCAAGGTAGCTGGGTAATGGGGTGGAGGGGGAGCTGATGGGGCATCACCCAATCTCAGGGTGGGATATATCCTCTGTGGCTCCTCTGGATATTTCATTTCTGTCATGGGGGAGGCCCTCTTTGACATTATTGGGGGCCCTTGGGCATCAGATGGTTTTTTAGGTTCTGGTTCCTCAAGGGAGTTTGGGGGATTTTTGCCAAGGGTCACTATGGTCTGGGTATCAAGCCTGCATTTGCTCACCCATTCTCGGTGGTCTCTTGGGAAAAAGAAAAGTTGAATATATGGAACTTTAGTCCATTTTCCCTCTCTTTCACAGACTCTATCTAATTGAAGGATGGTATTATAACTAATGCTCCCTCTTTCTGGCCATTTTTCCCCATCTCCCAAAGGATATTGTGGCCAGGCCTGGGTGTAGTAAAACTTGAGTTGCTTCCATTGAAGACTTTCTGTATCAAGATCTTTCTAATGTTTTAGTAAGCAGGCAAGAGGGGATCCTTCTGGGATTCTGGAAGTTTGATTCCCCATCTAAAAAGGGAAGCAAGGGAAAATTGATCATTTTAACAGGATTTTCTCCTTTTACCCAGGCATCCCCAGGTGAGGAAATCCTCTAAATGGGAAAGGGTGTTCTCTCTCCTGTGCTCTCCTGCCACTGGTTAAGGTCATGGGGTAAGACATTTAGGTATATCCAGCTGCAGCCGCCCAGCCGTAGTGACCCTGCTCAATTTTTTTTTTGCCTGTTTATCTTAGTTTGTTTGCCTGGTGACCCAGGTGCCTGGTTCTCCTCTACCAGCTGAAGGCTTGTAATTTAAAAATAACTCTATCAGTGAGGGGCTCTAAAGTAACCAAGAGGGCTTGCGTGGCCAGAGGAGGGACCCTTGTGGAGGCATGGATGGGGACTTTTGATGAGGTAGACTTTTGTCCCCCTATATATCCTGTGAGTCATACATGTTCTATGAAAAGAGAGGGAATGTTTGAATGTAGTGGTTTTTTTCTGTGGTAAGGGACAAAAACAGAGAAGACCCATTGAGGTCTCTATCTCCTCAGGAAGCTCTCAGGTAAAGCTCTCTTTTCTCCCTTGAGGGCAGACTATGGGAACCTGCTTAACCAGATCAACCAGATGCCTAAACAAAAAAGTTAAGCCCAAGTTAGAGAGTAGCTCTTTTTGATGTACTCAACTGAAATGGGGCCTGCAGAAGGGACATGGGAGCTCCTGAGGACATAGTCTAAGGTTTAGGTTTTGAATGGAGGATGTAAGGGATCTCTCCCAGACTTGCCTGAAGAAGGATGCTCACTGCTATCTAGGACAAAGGGGGAGGTCTCTCGTTCTGATCTACTTGGGAAAGAAGAAGGAGCAGCTGAGGATTGGGGGAAAGAGGGTTCCAAGGCTCCATGCATGATGGATTATTAGTCATCACTGCTGTCTGGGTCAATCCCGCCAGAGGCAGTACTGGAGCACTGGAAGCGAGAGGTGACCTCCACTCTCAGGCCACAGGAACCGTGAAGAAAGTATAGAGATCTGATTGTGTGCTGTGGACAG